TGAGGTTATATACACTGCGTGGTTCTGGGTGCTCAGTTAGCCCTGTATCTTCATACCAGTGGGTCATAGAATGAACTTTGTTTTGTATTAAAACTAACTAGCCGAGCAACAACTAAATAAGATTGGGGAGCACGTGATCTAGGGTAGCCGTAGTATCCACCTACAATCGGTTCCAGAGACCCCCTTAATCTTGAACCTCTCTGCATGCCTTACTATATAGGCTCCAACACGTGTAGCTATATGAGGATTTGGGCCTCACACTGTTATATTCTACACTGCATAGTGCTAATCTAGATACCTCAAAGATTAAGAACAACTAGGTAGAGGGTGAGGAGAGCTTATCATCAAGTTGTTGATAGATCGAATCGCACAAGGTATAATACTATAGAATGAAATAGTAATAATCGGGTCAGATTTTCTATCACAGAGTATTAAATAAAATGAAGTACAGAACAGTATCATCACCATGGAGGCCAAGAGAATTAATTCTCCAACCGAAAGTGCAACAGGTTCAGCGTTTTAGTTGCTTTATAATGGCTGTGTATGTCTCCACTACCCTCTTCTCCTTGGGACCTAGATGGATCTTTTCGAAATTTGGTGGCAGGATCTTATTTGCTCTGAAAGTATACCATTAGCATCATATTAAGTGAGAAGGAAAGTAGAGAAGAGAAGCAGTTTATCATACATACTTTTCATAGCGCACCTTCATGTTTCGGATCTTGTCCTTCAGATCAACATTACTACGGTCCTGTAGAACTGCACCATCTGAATGTTCCTTATCCATCAGCTGCAGGATCCTCCATTTTGGCCCATACTCGACAAATAGCTGGAGAAGACGTCTCTCCTCCTCCTCAGACCACATGCGTCGGGGGCGGCAGTGGGCTACCATCACGGCGAGTGGTGGCTTGGCCTTCCCAGCTCGGGTTGCCCTGGGGGGAAGAGATGGTGGGAAGTTGCTGGGTGTATGAGTGACACCTCGCTCCTGAAAGAAAAGAAGCGGGTCCAACACTCTGCTTGTATGAAACG